AGTTTCGGTCTCACACTTACGTCCAGTTTCAATAACCTATCTATCTGTAGATTTCCTTACTAAAGATAGAATTTTGACATAAGCTCCATACAAAAAGTGTCAAATTTCTATCTCTAGTAAGCAAATCTACAGATAGATGGTTATTGAAACTGGACGTTAGACAACTATAAAAATAGCCAATAATAAATCCACTTGTCCATTTTATATTTTAGTTTTTTTTAAGTCTAAGTCGTCTGTAGGTCATGAATGTGGGTCAAAGTTCAAAGAAAAAGGACTTCGGACTAAGTTCAAAATAATTTATTATCGTGTTTACTAACTTGTCACTTTAAACATATTTTTGAGGTTAAAGTAACACCCTGTGAATGTGAGTGACGTAATAATAACATGTACAAACACTAGCAATCCAGCATATCAAACTACACTTAGTTCTTTTACATTTTCAACTTTATCTTTTAGCTTTAAAGTTGATAATTACTTGAAGTATTTTGATAGTTTAGAGAAGCATGATATGCGGGTGTCGGCACAAATGAAAAATATATATGTACTTCTTATTCTGTTTGAAAATGTACAAAGTTTTGTCGCACAATTTGTTCAAAATAATAATCTTTTCAGTTTCGTTTTCTTTTTTTAATGACATAGTATTTATTTCTTTTGATCTCCCTTGGTGATTTATTGTATTATTTTATTTCTTTTAGTTTAATAGAATTCGGTTGGAACGCACACAAACCATGTTCATTTCAAATTGCTTGGTGTCTTACTAGATTGTTTAATTATAGTTTCTACGAGTGTAAGACTGCCTCGTTGGCTGAGTGGTCGCAAGTGCCACTAAAACAGTCGTAGACATAACATGACATAACAGGGGTAGGCAGAGTTGCACACAGAAGTAACACCCACTTTTCACAATTTATGTTATGAGTATAATATGTAAGAGGGGATGAGCCTATTGCCATATACCAGGCACATTTCCAGACTCCGTGCTACTACTGAGAATTTTTATCCAGTAATGCTTTGTCTGATTCGGGAATCGCACCCTAGACCGCATTTTCCATTCCGAAGCAGCATTTTCTAAGTCATTATATATTGTTTTCTATTGCATACTGATAAATATTTGTGTTATTAGAAATAAGATGTACTATTATAAAAATTATATTTAGACCTCCTCTAGCCAGCCATACAGGATTGTCCTAGTGCAGGCATCTAACTATTTGAGGTCAATTGTACGTAATTTAGACATATTTTTGAATTTTGCGTTTTTGTTTTTATGAATAAAGTTTTATTTACCTATTTATTATATATTTATTTTCCATAATAATAAATTTGAAACTCTATGACGCGAATAAGACAGCTATAACTCCAAAAGTTAAAACGACTACAGCGATTAATTACAAAACAAATTTGGCGGCTAACTTACAAGATCAGGTGGTCATTACCGCGCACTGGCATCGAACCTACCCTCCAGTGTTGGACAGTTGCCAAATCTTACCACATGCCTCCGTTGCACTGGATTGTACTCCCTCTAGAAGTAGTTTTATCTTTATGTATTTTTTGGTCTTAGGTTTAGATTTTTATCTTCACTTATTATTTTAACTCCCTGGTTTATCAATTAGTTAAAAGCGTAACTGCCTAGTTGGCCGAGTGGTCGCAAAAGCGACTGCCGGGGAAGGGGTCCGGGTAGGGCAAAGTATTACTGGGTTTTTAAAAAAAAATCTCAGTAGTAGCACGGAGTCTAGAAATGTGCCCGGTATTATGGCAATAGGCTCACCTCCATGGAACTCATAACATAAATAGTGAAATGTGGGTGTTACTTCTGTGTGCACCTCTGCCTACCCCTTCGGGGATAAAAGACGTGATGTTATGTTATATGTTAAAAGCGTGACTGTAAAATATGTAATGGCACAATTTTCTTTGTAGATATTGTAACTGAGTTTGTTCTAGTAATGTAATTGATTTCGTCATCATAATCATTTATGCAGAAGTTTCAAACGTTATACCGAAAAAGAAACTATATTTCGATAATTTTTGAACAGTCACATGGTCTAAAACTCTAGTTAACTTTCCCGTGACATGCCCTAGCTAAATCTTTGATATTCGTAAATTAATCACATACTACGTCTTTTCAGTGTCAAAAACTTTGGAAATATTAACTATACGTTTCTCATCATTGCAAAAATAAATTCACTTGTTTCCCTTGTTTCTCAATGCAATACGTGACAGTATTAAATACAAAATAGAGATAAAGACTGCACTAACATAAATTCAGCAATGCATTCTGTTCACAAACGACACAATGTATCCACAATTTTCTATCTAATTAAACTCCACAATCCACGCTTCTCGAATCAAAATGTAAAATTGTAACCGTACCACTAAAAATTCATAGATACACACATCTAGTCTAGACTTTGAAATGTCTAGACATAACGTACGTTTGTTGTACCTAATTTAAAATGTATTTTATGCATGTCTAAATCTTAGTTGCTTCGTTTGTCTTGCTACAATGTGTACATTTAGTTGGCGAGTGTCCAACTTGTCTAGAACGGTCAAGGTATTACCCGATACTGCGTTTTGGGATATAATAGTGTTGAGAAAGCGTAAAATTGAGTCTGAACTTGTTAATGAAGTGACCATATCCTTTAGGTGAGAGGTGACTTTAGAATGTGTTATGATAATGGGATCAGTTCGAATATGATTAGTTCCTTTGTTATAAATATCACTTTGTATCTGGTTGTTGTTACATTGTTCCAATTTTGAACGAATTGTGTCTCAGATAATCGTTGTGTTACCAGCGTACTTAGGACTATAATTCACCAAATGAGACTTACTGTACTTCAGTATAATTACATAGAAAGCTTACTTCAAAATCAGGTGTATAGTATGTTTTATTCACTATCATAATGCCTTTCACAAAAAATAGGACACAGGGTACCCATTATGAAGCACACCAAACATCGGCCACATTACCAATCATCCCCCAAACATGCACTTACGAGCACAAAAACACGGACCCGCAAAAAACAAAGATTCCTAATAACTCCCTAATATATAGGTTCTCTTGAGAAAACAGAAGCGGCCAAGTTATTTATTCTGCTTTGAAGGAAACACTCGGTTCTTGGCAGATCTTAGCAAATATTTCCTTCATTGTAAGGTCGCTTTCAGACGTCTCCGAGTGCCGGTGAAATGGTTCGTGTCACTGCTTAGTTCTCATTGCAGTTGACTTGCTTGTGTTTGTAGATTGTGTGGTGTGGTCTTAAGGAAATTATTTGTGTTACATCGAAAGCAGAGGTAAAGTATTTGATTATTGTTAGATCTTGAGGTTTTTTAAGTATTTTCATGTAATTTTAGGTTAGTTTTAGTTATTATTGTGTAAGGTAGGTAATTTAATAGGTTAAGATGTAATGTGTATATAATATTATTATTTTTGTGTTAATGTTATTATTTTTTTCATTTTTTTTGGGTTTCGTTGTATTACTTCTTGTTAGTAATAGGTATAAATATGTTTTTTTTTTTTCTTAACTAGATTAAGCCTCACTGTCGAATTGGGAAAATCCTGTAATGAGAGTGTAGGAAGAATTTTATAATAAATAAAAAAAATAAAAAAATAAAAATATAGTTATTAACTAAAAATCGCGGGTTACTCACGTGAATATACTGAGAAAAGCTCTACTAGTTTCGAACCACAGAGGGGTTCTTCCTCATACTAGGCTGCGCGACATGTCCGCAACCGCGCATGCTGCTCATTAGGAAGAACCCCTCGGTGATTCGAAACTAGTAGAGCTTTTGTCAGTATATTCACGTGAGTAACCCGCGATTTTTAGTTAATTTAGTACGTGTCACGATAGTTATTATAAAAATATGTTATAGTTATTGTTGCATTTTTGTTCAGTATCTGTATTGTAGTTATCTACTTAGGTATTTCAATAACAAGCATACTTTGGTGCAATTATTCTGATAACGTAAAGTGTCTCTTGAACTTCATACTTATCTTTTTAGATACGAAAAATACAAACAAAAAACTGCTTGGTTACCACAACAAACCGAAATTTTAAACCCAATGCGGCATGTCATTTATTTATTCACCCAAAATTAGGGTCAGTCCCGTGTGTGCGGTCCCTATACAAATATTCCTCCTTTGATTCGCCAATAGCTGGACGTCTTCCAAGACGGAAGCCGGACGGATTTTCTCACTGTATTGGTTCCTTCCTATGACGTCACCACTTGTTTTAAAATGTCATTGGCTGAGAGTATCGACCGAGAATGCAGAATGAGGCCGCTCTCTTATCTCTTTGGTTTTGCTTTAATGAATAAAATAGTTCTATCTGATCTGGTTTAAAGCAGTTCAGTGGCTTGCTTTGACTGGTTTTAGCTTGAATTCCTTGTAAAATGTCGTGCTTCCGTGTTTTACTTGAATTCGATTTAACTAGTGATGTATTTTATGCTATAGCTATGGTACTTAGCCATCATCACATTAATACTATTGAGAGTAATTGGGTGCTTTCAGTTTTTGAACTCTATGAAATGTAACATAAAGTTTGAAATGGTGTTTGACATAATTTATTGTAGCAATAAATTTAGTTCCTATTACATTGAACTTTATTTCGAAGAATATTGAAAACGTGATATTATGTATGTTACTGTACATGTTCTAGTGTATTGGTATAATTGAGAATCACGTATCATAAAATAACATAACATAACATCACGCCTTTTATCCCCGAAGGGGTAGGCAGAAGTGCACATTATGCCGCTGTACAATGTAACACCCACTTTTCACTATTTATGTTATAGGGGGTGAGCCTATTGCCATATACCGGGCACAATTCCAGACTGTGCTACTACTGAGATTTCTTTAAAACCCAGATTACTGGGTTTTGCTTACTACTTAATACTTTGCCCGACCCGGGAATCGAAACCGAGATCCCTTGCCCGGCAGTCACAATTGCGACCACTCGGCCAACGAGGCAGTCCACGTATCAATAAAATTATTTATATTTTATTTTCAGAGTCGACTTCAGAAACGGCCCGCCAGTCCACTGGGCAGTTGCTGGAGAATTCGGAGCTCGAACTCACTTCGTTCTCAACGAGTCTGATCCATCATCAGCTCACTTAGTGGTAGAGAAGGTGGCTCGTCAGGATGAAGGAGTATATAGGTGTAGAATAGACTATGTTGACGCACCTACTAGAAATTATAGAGTCAATTTGACAGTTATAGGTAAGTGATGACTCTTTTTGATTTGCGATGCCGTGTAGCTTTTTTAATATCCTTTGCAATATTTATTTGTCGTCCTCAATTCTAACTTAGAAGTCTACTGTTGCTTTTTAACCACTGGTGTTTTTAAGGGGGTAAAATTATCCAATGACGCCTACTACCAATGTGCGACGAGAGGAAGTGATTGAAAACCATCTCAGGGTTATAGTTTGTATTCCTTGCTGGTTCTGACTATAACTTGAAAATACTAGCTTGGATGAAAGTTATTATCACTGCAATTATGAAGAGCTGTTTTTATACTACACTCTACGCTAGTTACGATGTTAATCCTATCTTATAAACACTTAAATCAATTTGGAAATGGAATTCAACATATCATGCTTGGTAGTGGCAATTCATGTTTTCAAACCACTCTGGCCTCACTATCCCTCTTATTTTGTTACCAACAATATTGACACAAACTAAATTGATGGTTTCTCTTACAGTTCCCCCAGAAGCCCCTCGGATATATGATTACGAGGGTACTGAGATCCTCGGGTCTGTTGCTGGGCCCTTCAGGGAGGGACAGAATTTGTTGCTGTCTTGTCAGGCCGCTGGAGGTAACATTTTTGTTTATCATTACTAACAAAAATTTAAAAGCAGATTATGTAAATGGCTCATTGAATACATTTTTTTTTTAGTCTTAAGGAATATCTAGATGTAATTTTTATTTTTAACTAGCCAGTAGTTTGTAAAAGAGATATAACATCATTATTTTAAATTTGCATGCTAATTTTTAAGCAAAACACATGAACCTTAATTAGGTTTTTAGACCTTTGTAATAACATGCTTTTGAGCAAGTAAATAAAGGCTACTTAACATTGTTTGATGACGTTAAAATTGAATAATGTTATAATGGTGCAATCAGATTATATGACAATCATACAAATAGTATTTAAAACAGTCAGTGAAAAAAAGCAGTTATGGACCTTATTGCAGTGTTGTTAAAGCTATGGAGTTATTTTTAAACTTCTACAATGCGATTATCGCCAGTGAGACATTAAGCAGTAGGTTTGTCTATAAATAAGGGCATGTTTAGGGTAACGAACTATGTCGTTGGCGTTCCATAGTCTCTGCTTACCCCCATTGGAGACAGGCGTGAAGTTATATATGTATGTATATTTAGACGTACTTCATCGTTCTCAGGTAAACCGCCTCCAGACGTGTCCTGGTATAAAGGCGATGAAAGATTAGCCTACACGAAAGAAGGTTCCGTCTCCCAGCTGCATCTGCCCAATTTATCCAGAGAGATGACAGGTACCAAGCTGCAGTGTCGTGTGGAACCTCCATTGCTGCAACCACAGTCCAGAGAAGTTACTTTAAGATTATATTGTGAGTGTTTAGGGTAAATTGGGATTGATTTGAAGATGAATGCAATTTCAAAAGTCGTAGAAAGATGTTCACCATATGTTGAAATTCCACCCTTCATCTTATGATGATTTTGATGTACATAATGTTATAATAATGTATGATAAACACTAAGTAATCGGAATAAGAGCTAAAAAGCTTACCATCAGGCGAGATGGCGGTCAAACGTCGACCTATAAAGTGTAGAAAAAAAATATGTATAAGATAATTATAGAAAGAGCAATATTCGGAATCGTCAATATTTATACTTTTTTCGGTTCTAGAATGAAGCACGACTTTGGGTAACCTTTGGGCTGATTTGTGTGTACTAGAAGAAAGTAATCGTTTAAGGAAGTGATCGATTTGAAACATGGCCTATCGTGACCATCATTATGATATATATTGTGTTCGTTCTACAGTAAAACCTCAATACATTCGAGTGACAGGCAGTGGGTCCACTAGAGCTGGTATGGATAAATCCTTCGTATGTACGACGCGAGGTTCGAAGCCAGCCCCGAACATTGAGTGGTTTATCAACTCACAGCTTGTAGATTCCACATTGACTCAGGTAAGTAATGATAACAAGTAATCTAGTCTATCTCAAAAAATACTCAAAAAAGTTAATAATGCATTTCGACTCTACGTATTAATAGGCAACGAAATTCCCTATTTTTAGACGTCATTATGTGATATTTCACAAACAAATCTCTATTGCACTAATGTGATTATAAAACTGCTTGCATACTCAAGGACTACCTCATTGGCCTAGTCGGAAGTGTCACTGCCGGGCAAGGGGTCTCGGGTTCGATTCCCGGGTCGGGCAAAGTATTACTGGGTTTTTAAAAATCTTAGTAGTTGCACGGAGTCTGGAAATGTGCCCGGTATATGGCAATAGGCTCACCCCCTATTACATGGAACTCATAACATAAATAGCGAAAAGTGGGTGTTACATTGCACAGTGGCATTAATGCCGCAATGTGCACCTCCACCTACCCCGCTTGGTGTTTGACAGCTTAAACCAACCATCTGCACTAACTAATTTAATATGCCAGTACCTTCATTTAAGTGGTTGTGTCATGTTATGTTATGTGTGTATGTTGTTATGTTACCTTCATTTAAGTGGATCTTTTTTACCAGGTGGAAGTAGATGGGGAAGTAACGAAGAGTGTGCTGACGTGGCATGTACGTCGAGAGGACAGCGGGAGGCAGCTGACCTGCCGCGTCTCCAACCCCTGGTTCCCAGCACATACACTGGAGGATTCAGTCACCTTGGATGTCATGTGTGAGTAGAATTATAATAAGTAGTCATGTTTGTGTATAATTTTTAAACTGAAAGTGAACTAAAGGTATTTTTTCTTGTCCAAAAATCAAATTGAATATTGCAGGGAGATCAGTAATAAAAAATCGATTATAGAACTATATGCCTTACGAATAGTTTTAATTTAATTAGTAAATACCATTTCGAAGCCAAAAAAAATCTAGGTAGGTACAATTACGTAAAAAAAAATTCTGCGTAAAATCAAAAAGCAATAAATTCACGAACAGCCAATACAAAACACACGATTTACAAACACAATACAATGGCGGACAAAATAATTGACCCAGTAACAAAAACAAGTGAAAACCTACGCGCGATATATCAAATGCACACCACACACTAGATACTGGAGCGGTGGAGTTCCGGCGGTGTTTGCCGGCGGCCTGAGTCGTGTGCCAACAACTTTGTCCTCAAGTTTAAATATTATCGCGAACTAGAGGCTCCGTGTACGTTGTGATACACCGAGTGTCGCAATACGGGCTTATTATGAAGTATTTATGCTATTGTTTATAAACATAGCCGGTTGAAACTGGAATACGAGCTGGTGTTAGCATAAATTAGATTGTGGAAGTAGCTATTTAGCATTTAACGGCTAATTACTAATTTTAGAATTTTGGCTGGCTATTTGCGTTTTGTATCCGGGATTGTTTAGCTGTTTGTTATAACTTTTATGTAGTTTACAAAAGGATTTTAAACCCCTCACCCCGAGGGAATGTGGTGTGTAACACTAACTTTCGTTAGTTGTATTATTTCGGGTTAACATAATTAACACACAACAGACACAAATTTTGTGGAAGTGCTACGACTGAAGATTAGGTCTTACTAACAATGTTTAAAATGATACTTTTTTCTAATCAATTATATCACAATTATTCATATTCCAACATTTTTTATTCCTATTTATTACCACTGCCCACTTGTCGTGGTCACCCGGAGGTTTAAGACGCCTACTTCTCATGCATGAGGGTTCGCGTTCGTAACCTACCAACGGCAAGTACCAATGTGACTTTTTCCGAGTTATATGTACTTTCTAAGATTATTCAAACATCACTGACAAACGGTGAAGGAAAACATCGTGAGGAAACCTGGGCTTATAATTCCTTATAAGTTTGAAATCACCAACCAGCATTGAGCAAGCGTGGTGATTAATGCTTAAACCTTCTCCATGTGAGAAGAGGCTTTGCTCAGCAGTGGGCATTTACAGGCTGTTGTTCAATGAAAACTACTGCACAAATAATTCACCGAAACACCCCTTCCTATAATGATTACCATTAATCTTGCCATACGATAGTTAAGATAAACACATTGCCTGCTTTCCGAAGCGTGGCTTATGTAATATGCATTAATACTGCGGCTATTACATTCATTAGGCTGACACACCTAATTTAGTCATACCTAATGAGGTAAATGAAGCTGTAAGCGTTCCTCAGTGAGTTGCTGCCGTTTGTGCTCGGAGATAGTTGATGCATTATACGTTGCGCTATATTAAGTAATATTCATGATATATTTGTACTATTACTGAGTTAAAGTGGCTCCATCCAAGATCTTTACTAAATGTACTAAGTTATAATAAAGCTAAAAATGTAATAAATAAATATTGTTTTTTATTTAAAGTATAAAGAGAATATCGTATTTATGTCTTAATTCTACATCACTTCTATTTTATTTTATTATTTACATTGCATCAGATACATACTTTGGTGCTATGACATGTTATATGCCTGAACTAGGTTCAAAAAGCGCTAAGTATAGAAAACTTAAGGTCTAAATTTTATTAAATTAATTATTACCATTATTCTAATTGAACATAATTATAATTTTAGAAATTTGTATCTTAACAAAAATATCATCTAAAGTTCGAAACGAGCAATAAAATAATTTTATATAACTGAGAACGAGTCATAAAATATTAAACTCGATGTGATAAAAGTACTCAACCAACAGTCCAACACCTATGGGAAAAGCAATTTAAATCTAAACGCTAAATTCAACGGCACTCAGTTTCAAAACTATCATGACAACTCGAACAACGTAAACAAAATGTACGCTAGCAAAAACAAACTTTCCCTCTCCATTATGTTTAAAGAGAAATAGTGTGACATCGCACAAACTCATAACATTAAGTTAAACATAAACGGGTTAATGCGATTACTTCAAAAACGTAAGCCACAACAAGTTTACGTAACCAAGTTTATCTCGTCAAGTTAAAACATTATCGCTTATTGTCAAGCGAGTTAGTATTCGTGGCCTCAAGTGTAAGGTGTTGGAGCCAATGTTGGGACCAACGTGGAAGTGGTGAACATTGACGTCATATTGGTAAAAATTTAAATGATGATAAAGCATTAATCATCTAGCATTGTGAATGTAATAGACATAGTGAATTAAATTAACAATTACAAATAATAATAAATTTTATATTAATATCTTGTAGATTATTTTAAAACATTAGACACGTATATTTTCGTGTCATACAAAATTAAAAACTTTCGACGATATATTGATTAAAAATATCATTTGACGTCACAATTTATTACATTTTATAGGATAGCGTAACGTAAAGACCTTCCACTTCTAAATTTAACTCCGTTATACAATACAAAAGACAGAAATACGTGTTTAATATTTTTTCATTATCTAACTGAAGGACTAAATTAATTTTAATACACTATCTACTACCCTATTGCATAATAAATTAAAATAATAAATAATTTACTGACAATGAAGTCCCATAAATTTTATATTATTCCAACAAATTAGAACAAAAACATGCAAGCATCCCAAACCCCGCCAACGAAATCCTAACACCAACATTGGCAGTTTGCGACCAACATGTAAACATGGCTTCAGAATTAGCACCCAGCTTATTTAACTTTTTGAAGTTGTTACTCAACTTACACGCGTAGAGGGATGTTAAATAATTCGGTTATGATATAAACAGTTAAGTGTGAACCCTTAGGATTACTGACGGACGGATTAACTTTGACAATGATGGAATAGGGGGAAGTTATCTTTACGCTTCTTGGTAAGGAGCTTGGTAGCATTTGAAGTTGGTCAACTGTTGCCTTAGATAGGTTATCTTTTTTATGGGGTATTTCAATAATAGGGCTTTGGGTTTCTGTGTTTTCTGAGATAACTATGTAGTCTCTCAAGTTTTCTGAGGATCTTAAAAATGTACTGTATGTCAATATAATCGGTTAGACGGCATTTTGTGTCGTGTTCTTTCGTTTCATTTTTAGCAGATATTTTTATGTTTTACTTGGCGTATATTTGATGTTTTTTTTGCATATACCGTATAAGATACTTGATGCTATGTTAGTAGCTACTTTCTATTGGTTTTTATAATAATGTTCCTGAGACATACTGAAATTCCTAAAAATTACGGGTTACTCACGTGAATATACTGAGAAAAAATAGTGCAGGCCGTGCGCCACGACCGCGCACGCTTCTCATGAGGAAGAGTCCCTCTCTGACTTGAAACTAGTAGACATTTACTCAGTTTATTCACGTTAGCCACCCGTCATTTTGAGTTGGTGTTTTATACGATTGTGATTACATACATAATTGTAGTGCCCAAAAACTAAAATTGAAAAAATATCTCACTAGTAAACTTAGCTGAATTATATGAAAATGAAGACATGAAAATTACACAATTATTCAATTCGTTCGATTAAAATATCTATTCCAATTTTATTCACACAATTTCACTGTAAACTGAAACGAACAGGGGACCATTGAAACGAGTTTTTATATCACACGCGGGAAATTACAAATAAAATTTCGTTACACATATTTTGAAAAACTTATTTTATGCACGTACGAAATGCAGTATTACGGGTTGCAAAACAAACAAACAACGTAATAATAATAATAATAATAATAATAATAAGTTTATTTCAGACTTTAGATGATATGTCCATAGGTTTGTTAGTAATGGTGTGTTAGTAACAAAGAGTGCTTAAATAGTTAAGTTAGTATTGTTAGTTATTACTATCTTATATTTGTATTATTAATGACTGTGGCCACCCAGTGTCTCTGCAAGGGACAGTCCGGTCTGGCAGCAATCATCTTCAAAATGCTGTTGCCACTACCATGCAGGTGCCGCAGTAGGGAGGCCGCTTTCTTACGCATGATGGCGTGGAAATCATCTGTGCGAGCCTCTGCGAACATTCCCGACGCGCTACAGCGCCATGGCAGTCCCAACAGCATCCTGAAGGCATTATTGAATTGGACACGCAGGGCACCGTAAGCTCGCCGCGTGTATGACACCCACAGGCCGCTCGTGTAAAACGATTGACAGAACGCCTTGAAAAGGGTTACTTTGACGGTATTAGTACAACGAGCGAACCTGCGGACTAGCATATTGCTTCTCACAGACAATGCCCTGCGCTCCCTCTCAATATCTCCATCGTCCCTTAAGTCACTTGTAACAACGTGGCCAAGATACTTAAACAGCTAACAATTTTTAATGCCACTCCGTTGAGACTTACGGGTGGAACACTGCGTGGTTGTTGCTTTGGGTGCTTCAAATACGAGGAGCTCACTCTTCCTCGAGTTATATATCAAGCCGTGTTCCTCCGCATAGGCCTCGCAGATTGACAGCAGCTTTTTCAACCCACCTATCGATGGACTGAGCAGTACCATATCGTCCGCATAACTTATATTATTGACACATGTTCCATCAATATGGCAGCCAACATGTGTACTGCTCAGTCGCTCGATAAGCTGGTTAATGTACAAGTTAAATAGCAAAGGCGAGCTTAACCCCCCTTGTCTAACTCCGCATTCTAGTCTGTACTCGTCTGACAGAGTACCTACCCACCTCACCCGGTTCTTTTGATTGGAGTACCAGTACTTGAGAAGGGAGGTATACTGTGCCGACACACCCGCGCTCCCCAACTTGCCCCACAGTATATCATAAGATACTAGATCAAAAGCTTTTGACAAGTCGAGGAAACACGCATATA